TTTATTGCAATTACATAATTTCTAAATCGCATAATGAACAATAACATATAGTTGGTCTGAGATGATTGCAATGTGAAGGAATAATTTCTTATCAGGAATACAAGATACTGAAATTATTGGTTTACCTGTTTAATATCTCACCGTATTTCCTGACACTGTTTACACTCAATCATCGTCTAATTTATATATAATTCTATGGTTACATAAAACATTGTTCTTCATATTTTATGAAGAAGGACGAACTATTCAAACATGTACAACTTTTAGGATTCCATGTGTTGCTTTGAAGTGGCTTCTCGATTTTATTCAGTTCATTCAAAAAACAATTCATTCATCATTTACTTTCACTGAATTGTTGTTACGCCTGCACGTAAACACGTCAATTTGATATGCTTGAACTATTACGAGTTTACCTAATCGGGATACGAGAGCGAGGATCGAGGATCCGGCTACACGACATGCTACTCAAATCCGATTATCGCAACCCCCCATATTGAGTAAAAGAAGACAAGACTTGATATGAAGTAGAACCTGTATTCTACAATCATCCAGAAAGTACGAGGTCCGAATCCAGAAGAGAATCAGGATCCCAGACTAGGGATCCGGGTCCTGGTCCTGACCATAAAACGTTACAGATAATGCGTATTTATACATTTTGGTCGACTAGGAAATTATTTGTATTATCTAATTAATAATATAACCTTTTCTTACCCGGATAAATTGCTTTCTTTCTGGATTAACTGGGAAAGACGCGTATCTAAACTTCTAGAAATTTTCTTCCGAATTCAGAAGCTTCTCCAAAACCTTTCAACTCAAATAGTTATTTTATTGCCGACCTAGGTGCCTTATGCCCTGGTATAATTGACACAAACAAAGCTCTGTTTATCACAACATGTTCAGATCGATCTAAAGAATACACGTCAAAAGGAGCATTCGCAACCTTTGTCGTTCTGTTACCCCCAGCAGTCTGAACTACCACTGACGCCTAGTGTTCCTTCACCTCAAGCGACTCCAAAAAATCTGATCTAACCACCGTTGCATCAGAACCCTTATCCTATAATTTCGGTTTTCCCTGATCTTAAGCGTGCAGAAATCATTAAAAGAATTTTTGGCTGCTTGGTGATATAGTAAATTCACAGCAATTCTGTGTATCAAGTTCGCCATCCAAGCTACGGGTGGTTAATTCTTCATGCAGCAGAGCGTAATGTTTTTTCTCGCACTTGTCGGCGTCATAGTGATTTTTCAGTCCACATTCATTAGCATTATGCACTAACTTCAGACTGACGAAGCATATGCCCTTTCTCCTTGCGTGGGGCCATCCATATTGAACTGTAAGCGCTAAGAATCGCCGGCATTTATAAACAGCGTGGTTGTAAGAACATATACTACATTTAACTTTTACAGTCGATTGCCAAAATCATGGCATTATTTTCCATTCTTATGACCAAGATCAATAACTGTTCTGCGTTACTATAATCAACGTTTACCGGATTAAGTAACACTTTTAACTTTTATCTGGCTATCACATAAGACTGACTGAACAACCTTTTTAGGATTCCCCTAGCCCTCTCTTTACCAGCAGAAGCTTCCATCTTGACGCGAATTCCAGTGGCTGCCATTGCCTTACTGTTGCAGTTGTGTATCGAATATAGCAACCGCTGGTTATAGTCACTGATTCGTTACTCTACGTAGGTCTCAAGCTGACTCACAAACTTCCACTACCCTTATGGTTGTCCATCGAATTAACATAACTTAACCATTGGTAGTTCTAGACCTAAAACAGGCGCTGAAGGCGTTACATTCTCTGCAGATACTTGAAGCGTCTCATTTGAACTAAGATTTTTCGTACCCTCTAACAACGAATTACTACCAGAGTTACTATCATGATCATTGTCTCTATTTGAGTGTGAACAATGACTCATAAGAACATCAAAAGGCACTTGCTTAATAATAGGGTATTCGTCGTTCAGTTTGTCTCCTTGACTCCCAACGCGACTTGAGCTAGGCTTCTTTTGACAGGAATTTGGCATCGCCATAATTGAAATCCAAGGAATGTTAGCCAAAGAACTCCGATCTATTGGTATTATTTAAAACGGTAGGATCGAAACTGAGGTTTGAGTTGAGGAATAACTGTCCAGGTAATTTAGATACTCGTCTTGCCCAGTTTAAATACAAAACAAGTGATTTGGGTAAGTAACGATTCAAATATTTATCAAAAACATACATTACATCATTACCTACACAATATTACCACTCGGTTATTCCTTCAGTGATAACACAGCAGGTTTCCGACTCCGGAAGAGTGCTCCAATTCACAATCAAAATGCACACTTCCAATCAGTCCATGAATTGGAGGAACACGTATCGGCTTAAACAACATAATGCAGTTTAGAAAGAAACATAAACTGCACTACTGCGTTTTCAGGTTTATTTCTCTGACCAAACTAGAAGTCTTGAACATAACTGTAAACTACAGAAAAACGTTCACTGAACTTTTTTTAGGGTTGAACGTTGTACAAAGTATACTTGAATGACGTTAACAAACAGTGATAGACATCATCCAGAATGCTGTACTAAACAATGTATCTCAGGCATATTGCAAGTTCCAAAGAGAGGATCTTCGGTACCGAATATTTGCTACGGGCGAAAAGGAAAGCCTGGCATAAATGGAAGGAGACGCTTCGAGACGAAGCTGGCAGTCAAAATATAGGTAAACGCGAAGTATCTGTTAACGTTCTGCACTTAAAATATCCTACAAACCATAGTGTTTGTGGGCTCAAAGGTTCAGAGATGGCCAAGATCAACTTCAGTGATTAGTTAAACCAAGTATCTATACGTTCAGAGCACTAATTATGCCTCGAAAAAGCTGATGGTGTAGAATCTTTTTTGAATGTTTTGTTTTTTGGAAAATCCCTCCATGTATATACATATTTGTGTTATGATATGACTGACTGTTTCTGTGAACATTTTGGTACTTTATTTGATTCCATTTAAAGATTTTATCATTGTATATTGTTATTATTTCTATGTTGTGTACTTATACTGAAGTTTTTATGTTTGCTTCTGAACTGTACACATGTTGTTTAAATTTGATATTTAATATGGCTACAGCCATATTTGGATTTGATACCGTGGCAGAAAGAACTGACAACACTTATTCCTTTGGAATCGGATACCCATTGCGGTGATTGAGAATAAGAAGGTGTATTAATAGTCAGGTAACTGTTTGTATTTCCGTTTTATAAAAAAAGTAGACCGCTTTCTCCTAGAATTATTGTGTTTTGATATTGGGTTGGGGGATAGCGCGTTCAACCTACACCTACTGGAATCAAAGTGAACTGCTAGGGTAGAAAATTCATCTACAGATGGACTGAATAATATCTGCACTGCTCTGGCTTAGTACTGGGACAGTGAAATCAGTGATGCGAAAAATGAAGAGTTACATGGATAAGAACAATATCCACCATAAAGCTCACCATAGGGTTCGAAAAGGCATCACAGTCACGTCCATTCATTTCACAGGAGAGCTGGAACACTGACTTGGACCAAAAATACTGTTCACATAATCTATCTTGACTTCTAAAATGCCTTTCAAGTAGCATTGCGCTGATTCTAATTGCAAAGATTTTGAAAATGGGCCCCACTGACCCACTTCTACCTTGGAAACACAAAGTTTCTGACCAGGGTAAATAGAGTGTATGTGGGCTATCTAGTTTCAAAATCGTGAGATTCATAGAGGACCATCTCAAGTGCACTCCTAATCCTGATATTTATCAATGACTAATAAGATGGAATTAGCTCAGCGGCAATCTTGTACACGGACAATGCAAAAATCGAGAAACACATATAAAGCTAAGAGGTTTCAACTGTCCTGAGAAAGGACCCTACATCCATCGAGTAATGTGTAGCGGAAAACAGGTTAAAACTAAATCAGTCCGAATGTCCGAATGTAAATTCTGTCACACGTAACACAAACGATTTATACCCTCAAACAAACAGATACATTCCTGCACTTAGGACTATTCCCACTGAGTTACAGGGGGATCTCCGGTGATTTGATTATGGCGTACAACATAATAAGCATGTCAAACCATCCCGACGTGAGCATCTTAGCGATTCATCACCACCATCCCACTCGAGGCGATCCTCAAAAAAACGTGCATCAAAGAGCAAATATACTGGTTCGAGCACACTTCTTCTCATTGAGAGTCGTCGCAACTAGAAAAGATCTCTCAGCCAAGATGATAAATTGTGCCTGGTGCATGTCTTGATACCTTCTGGTTGTTATTATCGCCATGCACTCAGATCACTAATCTAATCCAACTCACCTAATATCTCTGTTTACTATGTACCGTCCACAAACTGGTCATCAACGGCACAATATTCCCGCACAAATGCAGGCCTAAAGCTACATGGAATTCATCAAGTCAGATTACTTAGAACACAATCGACCAAATATGTATCAATAAAAAATTCAGAAGGACCTTGCAGCATGTGAGAACCAAGAGAGGAGCTCAGATAGCCTGAGATCGCGACTTTCTGGTCACCAAAGTGGGACCGAAACTCAAGAAACGGCAGACAACGTCACAGAAGTTCAAAATAGCCTTTCTTCGAGATACTGCAAAACTCAATATATTCAAGATAGCACTCAGCAATAGGTTCCAGGTTTAGGAACCAAATTGAGGTTTGGATTCAAGAATAACTGTTAAGGTGGTTTAAATACGCATCCTGTCCAGTTTAAATGCAAACAAGGGATTGGGTAAATACGGTTTTAATTTTCATCATCAGCTAAACAATATAACAACTCAGTTATTCCACCAACAACTGTTCTATTCAACTGCCAACTAACTACAATTAGACAGTCGAGTGGCTAAACCTCGATTCAGTGGACACTATCAAACACCTGGAACCTTGCCGCAAGAACAAAAATCGGGCGCAAGGCAATCAACTAGTTTACACTAGCCCGTGTAAAAGATATTGGATATTCGACATTGAATGACCTTAGAAGCATACACTATTAGAATGATTGTTTACATTGGAGATATTCAGTGGCGTTACAATAAACAATTCTGACCTCTCGAAAAAATGAAATATCAAGACTTTGCAGTGAAAAAGAGGGAAATGGAATTAGAAAATCTTTCTCAATGGAAAAGATATTCCGATTACCTAAATTACTCATCTGTGAGAACTGAAAAAGAAAAGCAGTGGTCGTCGATCAATGGCTCGGAAAATAGGTAAACCAAAATCTTTATGAGCCTATTTCGTACAAGCACACGTACACATGCTGATAAAAACAAGGTTCGTACACAGAGAAGCTTGGAATCTAGGAAAAACATGCTAATTCAACTTCTGGAAAATGATGCTGAAAACGAAGCAGTAAAACTTTTCAATCACTTGATCAGGTTTTCAGAATCTATTAAAAGCATTAGCTGAGAATTCCAAGTCCAAATCAGCTATGTTGATACGGTCAACTGCACTTAAAAAGGAACGTGATTCAGAAAAGGCAAAGGTAAATTTTATTTAAGAAGTATAATTTATTTAGATTGCTGAAAACCTTTTGATCGAACATTTTAGAAAAAACAATTCAGATGTTAGAGATATGCTGCGGGCAGCTGGCCAAAATGATATTACAGATCACTGGAATAACCAGTTAAACGAGCGCAACAAAGTTAGTCCAAACTCAATATTATGAGGTTACTAAACTTTCACAAACTTTGGCACAGACTCATCTATTTGATTAAAAAGTATAATGAAGACCTAAATTGTTTTAGATTTAAACCTGTTAATGTATTGTTAAGGACACAAAATCTAGACATTTTCCAATATTCAATGCATTTCCGACTGTCCACTATTAAGTTTTATTTTTCAGTTTGGACTGTACGTTGGGTGCACTGTATTAGTGCCAACAATATTATTCTTTCAATTGATCTATCTTCCTTTCGAATGCATTGACAGATTGACGTTCAATCATGTGTTAAAACAACGGATTGCATCCGTAGACTATTCTACTCGAAAGTCGATAGTCAGCTGATAAAAAAATTTGTTTTGGGCTTATGGAGTTGTCTAGCGTGTCCACGTAGATTCTCTTTTTTGGGGAGCGAGCATATTTGATGCAATTTTATAACCAAGTAATTTTAAACATGATTACGTCATCTCTGATCCTTCTATATTGTAAAGGAAATAGGTTTAATGTAACCAGTCTCTGTTCATAAGACAGCTGTGCTACTCTGGGAACCAACTCAGCTGCGGTTCTTTGAACCTTTCCTAACAGCTTGCTGACTGTTTTAGGAAGGATCTGCCTGCTTTTAATACTGAAGCTTTGGATGAATCAATACTATATATTAATTCCAAAATGTCTTAGTGTCGACAATGACAAAGGCTAAACGTGTAGAGCATAGGGTTCTAAAACCTTTAGCAGCTATCGCACGGCGATGCTCAGTAGTTTTCAAGTCTTGTTTAACAACGACACATAGACCAGTGCGTCATGATAACAAGTATCTTGGTTTTCTTCACCGTGTTTTTATCTGTGCCTTGGTGATCAAGCTGCATCATATTGCACTTGGAAGCTTTCATCGGCAACGGCCGAATATTTAACCATACAAACAATTCCTATAGGTTATTTCAAAACCGTAGACTCAACTTTTGTCGCTCTCCATATCTTGATATCGTCAGCATAATAAAACTGCTGAAGATAAAATATTAAGAAGCTCATCTATCTACAGGACAAAAAATCACTGGCCCCAAAATTGAATCCTGAAGCACTATGCTAAGCTCATTGTTCAGAGTGTGTATGAATAGGTTTGTATGAACTGAAAAGAAAGGCATCTCAATGGTATACACATCGCTAAAGGAATTAAAAATACATATGTATATGCAATTGTCTCCCGTCAATCATGCAGTACAACTGTCTCACCACAATGCTAGTACGCTACCTCTTTGAGTCCGTTGGTTTATGTACGAGAATGAGCAGTTCGGATTTTCCGGACAATCTTGTAGACTTGCAGAAGAATGTGGAACAAATATTTCGGGCTTTCTGATATTGATATTTCGCATCATGAGAGCTAAATGCTCTGATCTTCTGCCACATTCTTTTCCTAATACATAGAAAGGTGCAAACGGATGCAACTGCGCCATTGAGAACAAGTTTGATCCATGTCATTCAAAGTCTCTAACCATCAGTTACTTTTGTCAATGACTACATGGATTTGTAACGAGTTTTTTTGGCCACCCCTAGTTATTTACAGCCTAACCTTTACATCAGACAACATTACTAGTCGAAACAGTCAGCTGTTGGGCATACACAACTTATGCCCCATCAATTCAACTGATGAAGATCCACTACTTCATCAACTGACTTGCTCTACTAACCTAGTACCCTTTTACTAATTCAAGCGTTGCTTAATCCAAGGTCCCAGGAAATACGAACAATGCTTCCCAAACACCCATAGGTGGATACCAGTGTTTTGCCTATGTCCCATATTCTTAATGTCCATGTTTCACACCTGTAGAACATCTCCTGCCCAGTGACCTCGTCTTTTTGTCAGTAGATTGATATCTAGCCTACGCAAGTTGGCCAAAAACAATCGACCCTTCTGTGTCTGAGCTGAGATTTCGAAGGACACCCAGCAACCAGCACTGGTGAGAGTCCTCAGATAAGTAAGGTAATCGATACGCCTATCTACTTCATTCCGTATCACTATTTCAAGTGCCGACGTATGTCAGTCCTCAAGCAATATTTTGCACTTAAAGGAAACGAATCGCGTCCCGAACATGGTAGCATTGTTGCTCAAAGGGGTCAAAAATCTGCATTTTTTCATCATCTTTGTCAAACAAAACTACATTATCTGCACATTCTGAGTCAACGAGCGAATCTCCTGGTAAAAGTTCAACTCCTGAAAAGTGAGGCGATGAAATTATCGTCTCAAGAAACTTGTAAATGACAAAGTTAAATAAGAATGGAGTAGGCGAACAATCCTGATGAACAGCACTTGAAGTAATATATTCCAATGCCAGTTCGCCAGTATTATTCGAGTACAAAACCTATACGGTCTTAATATACTTCGTCGGCAAACCTTTCGATGATAGACAATGTCAAAGAATTTCACGATCAGCAGAGTTGAACGACATCTTAGAATCGAGGAATACAATATTTAAATGTGTGTCTCTCTTCTAAGATCTGCCGAAGTGTGAATATTTGGTCTTTACATCCAGGTCTGAAACCAGACTGCTTTTCTCGAGTCAGCTCTTCATGAGATCTAGTTAGGCGTTGAAGTATCAGTGAAGCTAATATTTTTATACGCTGTATTAATTACACTCATCACTCTGTGATTGTCACAAGAGGGCTCTTGCCTTTTCTTGTAGATCGAGACCAGCCAGACGGAACTAGGTCTAGTCCCTAGATTCAGGGTAAGATCTCAGTCAATCTAACTGCTAAAACTGCACAACATATTTTTAGAGACCATTCCAAGCTGCCTCTGGGTGAGCATCTTTTGCATGGCTACCCAACTGTATTTCCAGTTGATCCTAGAATATGTATTTGGAGTTAAGTGGAACTCTAAGGAATTCCTATACTGTTCTCTCCTTAACTCCAGTAAGCCACAGACAAATATGTGCCCATACAAGAGCACAAGAGTACAACTGATCATCAACTGGAATCCAGTCCAAGGCAGCTAATTCTGCTTCAGGACTCAATGCTATACAAACAATGGTGAGGACACGAGAACCAGCAGTGGGACTCCCAGATACAAGGAGTGTAAATCGAGTTGGTTCTTTATCTCGACAAACTGAGTTCAAGTGAACAATTTTACTCAGATCCTTTATGTATATTTCGGAGACCCATCATACATGGTTACCACAAGATTCCATAGTCCTAGCTTATTATCCTATTTTTCACAAGGTCCGAACATTAAACGTTGCAAAATGTAGTATAGAACGTGGTTTCAAGAGACAAGAAATGGCGTTTTCTGTAATATAATCGTTTGCGTTGGCGGCGCTAGGTGTGCTGTCCACTGTATTCTGTTCTTCTGAAATGGTTACGTTTTCGTCATCCAGTTGACCACCAAGAGGAAGAATGAAAGTAAGCGACTCTGTCTGACACCAGCATTCACTTGAAATTAATCGGCTTAATTTTTCAATGCAGTCCATCATAAGATTTCCGTACGGTGTTAACGATCTTTTCAGGTACATCATAACGTCGAAAAGGCTCCCACATCGCTCTTCTGTCCACGCTGTCAAATGCTTTCCCATATTCAGAGGAGTTGCTGTATAGAGATGATTCACATTCAAGTGATTGTTCAAAAACGACCAATATTGTTGATACCTGGTTGGTACATGATCGATTTTACTGAATCTTACCTGCTTATCTCAATGTTTAGAGTCTACAGAATCTCTTTTTTGGTTTAACAGCACTCTGTTAAGGGCTTTTCCTGGTATTTATAGTTGATTATTGCCTTTGTAGTTGCCAAGCTTGTTGCGATCTCCTTTCTTTGTTATGTTGATGTAGGGTTCTTCTTTCTAGTCCGGGTTGTCAGATGGGCCCTCGTGACTTCCGAATAAACTCAGCTTTCACTTTGAGGTGTCATAACCCTTTTAAATAAAGATATTTTGACTCTCAGAACAGAGTTTGGGTTATTTTTTCTGGTTAGCGTTTTTTCAGCAAGGTGATTTTTCTACAGGACTAAGACTCTAAACCCATATTTATCAGTATTTAGGACCAGTAGTAAGACTTTCAAAAATTGTTTATCTTGTATGACGTTATCCAACCTAAGTTTCTTGATGATTCTATGATTTTGAATAAGATCAGCGCGTGGTTGATAACGCCGAGAGGATGTAAGTCAAGTAAACTGAAATTAAACATTCATTACTCATCAAGCGTAAAAATAACTTACTTACACAGTAACAAACAGAATGTAAAAATTTGTACAAATTTGAAAAAGAATAAATGAAATTTGTCAAATATTGAATTATTATATATTTTTTTTCACATAACAAGTTAAAACAATCCGAAAAAGTTGATCAAATTTCAATGGAAGAAATGGAATCCAATGTTAAAATGTATGAAGAAAAACAAAATATCGAAATGGAATTAGAACGTTTACAAGCTAAAGAAAAACATTTGGAACAATTACAAAAACAATTAGATGAATTGTACTGCCGAGAGAATGAAGTAAGTTGCATAAAAAATTAATCTTACTTAACATGATTATTGAATTTCAATTGGATATATAGAATCGAAGTAAACATGTTTTATCACATAAACTAATTGGTGCACCAGCCGATTCGGATTAGATTGTTCTGTGTGAAAATGTAAACTTTGTCAGTCAGTAAGTATTAACGTAAATTTAAAAAGTAATAAAAAGCATGAAAAGTTAAATACAACTTATAATAATAATAATAATAATAATAATAAAATGACGAAGACAATACTTCGGTAGCATTAATAAAAAAGTTGGACTAGACAATATTCTAGCAAAGGCAATGAAAGCAGACGTAGCTGTAATTGCAAACATGTTCCACAATCTGATCAACACGATTTAGAAAGAAGAACAATCAACAATGGACTGAAAAGAAAGAAACCTAATCAAGATACCATAAGAAGTTTGAGGCAACAGTGTACTATAAATACCAGAAAAAGTCTTTAACAGTTTGTTGCTAAACGAAATGGAAGACCCTGTAGACGCCTAACTTCAATATCAACAATCTGGATTCCGTAAGGATCGATCGTGTACCGACCGAACTACAGCATTTCTTATCATTGTGGAACAATCAATTGGATGGAATTCACCATTCTACATCAACTACCTTGACTACAAGAAAGCATTTGCTTGTGTGAACAAGACAACACTATTATCTGATACTCTCCAGTTTCCAATGGTTTACAGCTGATGTCAACCAAAATGTTAGATTTCATGACTAAATCTTTCATCAAATACAATAAACTGCTAATGTTTATTAGCCATTCGTTTTTTAATTGATACAGAGAAACTTTTTATTTGTTTAAAAAATAAAAATACGATCAACATGCAAAATATTCATTCTCCCAAGTCAGCAAATTTGGACATTCGACATTTATACATCAGTTATATATATATATATATATATATATATATATATATATATATATATCACACGCAACAACAAATGCAAGAGAAGACAACCAGTGTAGCAGCAGCCTCAGCAGCAGTAGGTCTCAACAAACATAAAGAAAAAAGTAAGATTCTTTGATACAATGCAACATGCGTCAACCAAATCACTCTTTATGGAGACGCCTTGGAGGACGTTAACACCCTTACATATCTTAACAGCATCATCAACAATCAAGGTGAATCCGATGCAGACGTAAAGGCGCTGATCGGCAAAGCAAGGGCTACATTTCTACAAATGAAAAATATCTGGAACTCCAAACAACCATCAATCAAAACCAAAATCAGGATTTTCAATACAAATTTCAAGACCGTTCTACTGTATGGAGCGGGAACTTGGAGAACTACGAAAGCCATCATCCAGAAGATACAAGTGTTTGTGAACAGTTGTCTACGCAAAATACTTCGGATTCGCTGGCCAAACGCTATCAGCAACAACGTACTGTGAGAGAGAACAAACCAGATTCCATTGGAGGAGGAAATCAGGAAGAAACGGTGGAAATGGATAGGACACACACTACGAAAAGCACCGAACTGCTTCACAAGACAAGCCCTCACTTGGAACCCTCTAGGTCAAAGGAAAAGAGGAAGGCCAAGGAACACATTACGCCGAGAAATAAAGCAAGACATGAGAAGAATGAACAAACATTGGACAGAACTTGAAAGGGAAGCCCAGGACAGAGTTGGTTGGAGAAAACTGGTTGGCTGAGGCTTAAGTAAGTAAATAAGTAAGTAATCAATATGTCAATGTGTGTATTATCAATGATTTATGTTCAACTAAACTGAAAAGACTCATTCAGCTTACTAAGTAATTCTTTTGTAAGTAATCTGTGATTTAAGAAAAACATCATTTGAAATATCATCATTATTTCATGAATTCAAGATTGCATTTCAATCAATTGTTTGACGTCAGTTTCTTTCAATAATTATTTTTGAATACTTTCTCAGTTTTTAAGTCATTTACCATTGAAATCATGAATGAATCATTGTTAGACCAGCATTAGAAACCTGGACGGACCGTTTCGTTCTGGTATGATACTTATCAGCAGTGCTTATCGACGATTCGTGCTACATACAGAGTTCGAACCCAGGACAATCGGTTGTGAGCGCGAACGCTTAACCTCTCGATCATTGAGCTAGCCGGCATCCGACGGTGTTAATGACATTTGAATAATTTTCCAAATACTATCAAACTATTTATTGAAATTCATTTTATGATGATCTATTTGCGGTAATTATTACACATTCAAAAATGAAAAAACCTTCCCTAATGTGTTTAAAAACAATTTGTGATAACTTTGACACACATGTACATATGTATGATGCATGAATCAGATTGTTTGAATTTTTTTTTTTAATCTCACAAAATACATTACTACATATTTTCAAATCAATTATGTCTTCTCATTGTTTTCTTAAATAAAAAAAAATTTTTTAGGCAAAACAATTGGCTGAAAAAGAGAAAGCTTTACTTAAAGAATTAGCTAGAATTGATCAACTAGAACAAGAACGACGTATTATCGAACAAAAATGTCAACGTGAACTTTATGGACGTGCATTATTACGTCAACATCAAGCAGCATTACGAAGGCGTTCCATATCTGTACAAAATGAATTAAAAGCTGATTTAGATTGGTTACATCAATTGACTGAACAAGAAAATATTGAACATGCCAATGATATTGAAAATAAACAAGAGAAAAAACAAAATATTTTAGCCATACAAAAATTAGTTGAATCAGAATTGCAAAAAGAAAAATTCCGTGAATTAGAATTAAATGAATTAGAAGCGTAAGTTGACACTTTTTTTTCTTTTTCATACAAAATAAGCAACATTCATTATAGTTGAGATTAGCTGACAAAAAAACATTGATGATAAGATTGTACCATGAAAAGTTCATTCATTTTGTAAATAATATCTATCACTCTGAGATGGTGGAGAAAACTTGTAGCTCAGGTGGATGATTGTAGTGGTGTTTTGTTCTCTGAGCTGGTTGTTTTAGTTGTGGAGCTTTCATTGTTCTTCTGAACAACATCATCAGCACAAACTTCAGATAGACGAAGTGAAGCATTCGAATTTCTCCACGTTTGACCTGTAGCTTGTTCTGCTAACCTCCATCTTGATTGGTTGCTGTTGACCTTAAACCTGTCGTTGTTTGCAACTATGTTTTGATTGCCTCCCTCTTTTGATCTGTTTCTTGATCCTATGTCACCTATGATTTTCCTGATAAGTTGATAAATTGGATCAATGTCGATGTGTTTGTTAACTGCTGATTGGCCTGATTGCCAAGCTTCTTGAAATTCTCTAGTGTTCTTTGTGCTCCCGCTATCAAGTATTTCCACATTGTTCCAATCAAATGTGTGTCCATTATTGTCGGTATGTATTGATATAAGCGAAGCGTTGTTGTGGCGTTTGACTGCTAACTGATGTTCACGTAAACAGAGTTGAAGAGGTTGTCCACTTTGTCCTATGTAGTGTTTTTCACAGTTTGAGCAATTTATTTTGTAGATGATATTTGGTTTTTCTTCCTTTGTCGTTTTGTCCTTTGGTCTACATAGGATAGATTGAAGTGATTCTGTTGTTTTGTGTGCTACACCTATTCCAAATGGTTTCAGTAGTCGTGCTCTATGCTCCGATATGTCTTTGATGGATGGTAGGATGATGCATTTATTTGTTTTTGTGCTTGATTTCGCTTCTGATGATGGTTTCGGTTGATGTTTTTTGATGAAGTTGCGTGGATAGCCGTTCTTTTGGAAGATAGTCATCAGGTGTTTTTCCTCGTTTTTTAATGCTTCGTATGTGCTGCAGTGTGTCTTCGCTCTCTTGAATAAAGTTTGTATGCAGTTGATCTTGCGGGTTGTTGGGTTGTTGCTGTCGTAGTTGAGAATTACGTCTGTGTGGGCTGGCTTCCGAAATACTTGAGTCTCCAGTTTCGCTGTGTTAGTTCTGGTGATTAGTACATCTAGGAATTAGGCTGTTGTTTGATTCCTTTTCCATTGTGAATTTGATGTCATCGAAGACGTTGTTGATCCGATTGTAGAAGAACAATGAAAGCTCCACAACCAAAACAACCAGCTCAGAGAACAAAACACCATCACAATCTATCACTCTGTCTCTCTCTCCGTAAATCTTTAGATAAAAAAAACATAGGCAATTCAGTAAAGATGATTTTCTTTCCGACAATCGTATTTTTAAGTAGTTTAATAATGAATATATATATATAAGTTCATAGCAGTACAGGATGAAATCTTATTCACAAAGTGTGGAGATTTCAACGATCAAAAAGGGGTCTTGCAATGGATTCACAAAATTAACGGTAAACAGAAAGACAAAATTTTAAATAAACCATTGTTAGACTATCATTAGAAAACTGAGAGCACTGAAACACGACCGTTTCGTCCTGCCATGGGACTCCTGAGTGGCAGTGGGTATCTACCACTTTTGCAACCCCCCCCCAGGGTTCGAACCCAGGACATTTGGTCTTACACGCGAACGCCTAGCCTCTTAACCACTGAGCTGGCAGGTATCCGTTGGTGTTAATGTCTATTTCTGATCAATCTAAGAATTTCGCACAACCTCAACCATTGACTTGACTAGTTACTACCTACATCCAAATCAACGCGCGGTTTTGTTAAGTTTACTTGCTCTTATAAAACAGGCTGTATTGATTGTACAGACTGAACACTTGCTAAACACATACAAACATATGTGACTTTTGAGAGGAGAATATAGAACAATCTGCAGTCGAATACAGAAACGTTCCATAAATTTGAGGCACATCGTCCCACCAGAATCATCTTTCAAGATTATCAGTTTGGTTAAGCCAAAAGAATCAGCCCGATGTCAAATCAAAAACTTATGCATCTTGGCAATTCACCAACTCCAGCCTAAGCTCCGTTTGCCAAAACAACTTATGCATCGATGATGTAATCGACAGCAAAGAACACACGTGTGGATTGTTTATAATTTAGTAAATAAATTGATAGCATTGACAGTAACTTATACACTACAATGGCAAAGTAATCAATAAACTGTCAGTCTTACATTAATTATTCTTCTAAGTGTAACAGTAAATTATGAATTAACTATTGTTTGAAATAAAAAAAAACCTCTTCATATCAAGGTTAACATGAATCAACAAAAAAAAATTACAATGATTTTTTATTCAAAAATTTTTTATAATTATTGATCTTAGTTATGAAGCATCCAAATTATGGGCTAAACGTGAAGAAGAATGGCGAAATGAAACAGCCGCTAGACAAAAACTTTTACATGAGGTAAGCAGCGTCAAACCCAATTTCGGTATTGAGTATCTCTAATTTCAATGTGTTTATTTTTACTAGGCAGATTTAAATTGTTATTTAAGCAGTGGATACGCGTTATAGTTGATCGCGCGCTGTTGATTTCTTTTTTCCCTGTAATTATAGAAATGTTCAACATTTCAAAGATAATTCATTTTAGCATAAATTGAAAGTTGTATCTATAAAAATGACAATAGAAAAGAGTATGGTTATGAATTGAGTAGATAATTTTAAAACTCAAAATCGAATAACAATTGATGAAATAACATTTTCCCCATTGAGATTGAATATAAATTATATTGCCGGTCCCAAGCTAGGATAAAGTAACTTTCAGCATAGGGGAAAACATCTTTTGACCCGGCGACCCATAAAATCTTCCCAACGATGGACCCAACTAGATCACATCGCTATAAGCTATCGGTGGAGAGGCTCTATTGAAGACTGCCGCTCATTTTGAAGCACTTGTTTAGGTTCAGGTCATGCGCGTATTTGTTTGCGACTTACTGGACGTAGGAAAGACAGCACAAGACAACCTATTAGGGTAATACTTAATGATAGAATAGCTTAGAACATACTTCACGAGCAACTAGAAGAATAGTTGGCCGGACTGTCATTGGAACTGATTACTTCAAGTTGTGTTCGTCAAGGTTGTTCGTCATCTACATCCTTATTCACCTTTGTCGCAGACATGCTTGTTGAGATAACACTTTCCTCGTATGATTTGTCAGGAGTGAACCTTCTAACACGAGACACGCTTCCTTACTTAGAGTATGCTGATGACGTAGTTCTATTCGGTGAAGACGCTGACAAAATGCAGTCTTACGACTAACCTAAGCAACAATGCGAGCATGTTCGGGATACGATTCTCTCAGTCGAAACGAAAAGTTTCTTCAGGATTGGATTGTATCGGAACCTAAACAAGTAATAGGTACTGAAGTATTCGAGCGTGAAGACTGTTTCACTTACCTCCGGAGTCTCATCAGTGCCGATGGCCTGGTGGCTGACGAAATCTCAACATGGATACAGAAAGCTCGATTGGTTTTCTTGAACTTGCGTCACTTATGGTGCAGGCGAGAGATCCGTTTGCTAACTAAAGGACGAGTGTACTGCGCAACAGTTCGATCCGTCCTAATAAATGGATGCGGAATACGGCCGGTGAGAGTAGAGGACATTCGTAGGCTGTTAGTATTCCATTATGGATGTGTTCAAGGCATTGCTTGTTTATCCTGGGACAACCGAGTAAGCAATGCTGTCCCTAGGAAACGAGTACTAGTTAGGGATAGCAAATCAATAGATGAAGATGAGATGGTTGGGACATGTGTTGCGAATGCCTAACCGACTGCCTCGTTTTGCCATGAAAATGTGATTTGTTAGTGCATGTTGTGCTGTATCGAAGAATCTTGCTTATTACTTTGTGTATTTTAAGACCTACTGCTTCTGATCTAAAAAGTTAATAAGTTCATAATTAATGAATTATCTGAACCATAGCCAAAATAATATACACATTAATGAATTCGACAGTGTTATATGCTACAAAAAATGATGAATTTTTGCAACTATAACTGTATTCATACTTCAAGATTGTGTTATTTATAGATGAAAAAGGTCATTCAGTCAATGTATTAAATTGTAATCAATTAGTCGAGTAAGTGCAAGGCTAAGTCAGTCAGTCAGTCAGGTACAACGTAGAACTTCCAACGTAAGTACACAAGTTCAGGTTGCCATACCACATTACCACAGCGACGCGATTGTTGACTCAAATCCCATAATGGTGCAGATAGTAGAAGAATAAGCGGTAAAGGAGAATATTAGGGAACGAAGATATAATCCAAGAAGTATAATTCAGAGAGATGAATTTAAAAAGCGAAAGATAGAGATGATGAGCAGTTCTGAGGATTAGAATTTCTGTGAACACAAAGAGTGGATGCACCTTCGCCATTACAAACGATTTTCAGCCATTATCTTTCAAGGTCTCCAACCATCGGCTACATTCGTTTCGCGGACCCCAACCAGGTAGTCTGCATCTACCAACATGACTCAGTCCACTTGTCGGTGACTTCGTGGATTTGTGCCTTGTTTTGGTTTGGCCACCTCTAGGTTTCTTCCAACCTACTGTAAAACTAAAGGCAGCAACTCAGTATCTGAGGAAAGAGTCGTACTGCTTGAAGTAGAGAGTCGTAACAGCAGTAAAGTGTTGCCCTCGGACAATCAGCAACTTCCGCGATGTTGTCATCTCACAAGGAAGGAGACGTTCGACCTTAAAATTTTCACAATTCTCTTTACCTCACAAATTTCCATCTCAGGAGGTAAGGCCTTTAGAAAAGCGGAACTAACAATCTACACACTCCCCATAAAAAAAGCGTGCGCAACCGGCCTAAGGCAGTTTGTCCCTCGGGCTCTGCAGCCACACTCCCAGGATTTTAAAACCAGCGCAATTATAACTTCCATTTGAGATTCCCCAAGAAACACCCTCACAAGGTATGGGCAGCCCAGAAGTGACATTCGCCCTCAAACCCATAACAACATACGAGACTGAATAGTCATTAAGTTTAAAAACCTTATAATTATTAGACTGATGTGCTGTAGTGCTTTCTACAAAATATCTGCAGATTGACTCAGATTTCTTTTGACCATCAATATTAAATATACGATATGATAAATCTTACTAACCTTAAAATTAAATCCTCTCCTTAGATAAATAAATTAAATGAAAACCATGCTTAAATAAAACTCACAAATTCTAATCATTAACTAATTTAATTATGTAATTTTGTTTTCAATCAATAACATATTAAATTTCCATGACTAGGTCATTGAAGATCGTCGTAAACAAATCACTGATCAATTAAATCGTAATCAACAATCTCAACGAGAAGAATTAATAACAAGTGAAGAATTATTGGAAAAAATTGAAAATGCCAAATTAACTGATCGACTAGAAGAAGAAACACGTCATGATCAAAATATGAAACAGTACAATGAATTAGCCAATCAATTAGCTGTTAAACATCAAGTCAACCAATGGAATGAAGATAATGCCAAAGCTGATTTAGAAGCACAACATAAAGCTGAATTAGCCTATGAAGAAATGTTAAGAAAAGAAGCGGAAAATTTACATTTAAAAGAGAAACAATTGAGAAATTTAATGTTCTCCAGATCAAATAATGGATATTCAAAAAAATAGTCTATAGACTATTCAGTATTTTTTAAAATAAGCATAAACATAGACAACCAGACAACCTATTATATGAACCTATCCTTTCATTTGATCAAATATCCCGATGGTTATTGTGAATATAGAAAATTTTAATGTCATTCAACAAATGTCTCATGTTATTTTTGTTCAGTTTCTTGTTTTTTTTTTGTTTTTGTTTTCATGAATTATCATACCACGTTCATTGATTTCATGATTTCAATTTGAACAGAAATGTTCAACTTGAAAAATTAACCGCCACCCAGTTGTATGATTTGACAGTGCAAATTACTTTTTGCAGGTAGTTTTTGTTGTATATTGACTAAAGAATATACATTATTGTGTATCAGCTGTTCAATCTACAAAATATATATGATCCTATCATACATCTTCATTTTACTGTTCTAATTGAATACGTGACTAGCTTCGTGAGGAAAATCTTCTAGTGGGAAGACGTGATTAGTGGAAATGAACCCTGTCATGTGTAGTCAGTAGTAGCTACCGAACACAGTGGGTGAGGTTGCGTGAAATCCGCAAATCAATCAGAATTAGACATTAATACCGTTGAGTGGCAGCCAGCTCAGTAGTTCAAAGGTTAGGTGTTCGCGTGCAAGACCGACAGCTCGGAGTTCGAATCCTGTGAGTAGCAGCAGGAGTCGAGGATGCGGACTGCCACCGATGAGTCGTATATCAAGGCGAAATGGTCGTCTTTTAGTGCTTCCAGGTATCTCTAGTGGTGGAGTTCTAACAATGATCGTTGTTATTTCGACAACTACTTAAAAAAATGAGGTTATTCAATATCCAAATTATAGTTTTATGAAATGAACCTGTACATGTACATACATAACAACTAATGATGCATAAAATGGTATGTCAACTGTAGTTGTATAATTCTTTTTATATTATTGTTTAGACCATTAAACATACTGAGTTTATTTCATACTATGTTGCTGTTATATTCAACTCTGCTGATTCGTTAACTGTCTTCACATTTAAATCGTCACTCCATTCAAACTGTAAGTGAACAGTGATTGTGGTGTAGTCGAACAATTTAATGATAAAGCGCTCATCACTCTGAACCCAGCAACACTTGAACATCAGTGAAAAATGTTTTAACACGTATCGATGTGAATAAACCTTTTTTTGTAATAGAAAACAAGAGTAAAGTTATATAGCCTAAAGAATTGAACTTTGATGTGCATGGTTAGATTCTAGTGAAGTTATCTAGTATGACCTTTAGTATTGTTCAGATTTCCTTAATTTTTTAACCTATCATTTTTACGGTTAACTTTGAAGTGAAAAGAAAACTGGTGCTTTATTTTCTTAAATGAGATTATGACTATACCTAGTTTAGTGATATTTAAAGGAAACCTTATCAAGTGTGAGAACTGCAGAGATACCACACTACTATCGATGCCAAGAAAAGTTTTCAACAGAATGTTGTTGAACTGAATGAAAGATTCAGTAGACACCAAACATAGAGATCAGCAGGCTGGATTCCGTAAGCAACAGTCACGTTCTGACCATATTGAGACACTACGGATCATTGCGGAACAATCAAATGAACGGAATTCACCAGTCTATAACAACTACATTGACCACGAGAAAGCATTCGATAAAGTGGACAGGAGGATATTTCGCTGACTCCTTTTACCGAGAAAATAGTCAATATCATAGCGGATTCTCATGATGGGTGTTGGGGATGTTAGATCCCCGAAATTCGCTTGATAATGCCGTATTTTGGTTTTCATGTTTTGCCAGCATGGGCTGATCAGATGACCTTGAGATTTCAATTCCCACCAGGAAAATCCCTGGCTGTCATTGGCTGCTGTGTATTTTAGTATGCTATTTTCTTAACTGTCTCAAGGACGTTCCTATGTTGTATAAATAAACGAGAGTTGTATGCTTGATTGTACTGTGATTGCTGGGTGTTTGTAGAATATACTTTCTACGCTTACAAAGACTTTTCACTTCAGCCTCGGATTCAAGGTAGCCTCCCTGGAAGCTGGTAAAGTCTCGTTCGCGTTTACCGACTAAGGTAAACTCGTAATAGCCTCAAGCATACTAAGTGACGAACTTATCAATGGGCTACATCGGAAAATCAGGCATGAGGGACAGCTCACAGACTCGTACCAAGTGAAGACAGGATTGCTTACTCTGATCCTTTCTCCTGGTGGTCGACTAGATTCTGACGACGTCAAAATCTGCGGAGAACCACAGGATACAGTGGACAGCCCAGGTGCAGCTGGACGGTTTGCATTTCGCAGATGTCCTAGTCCTTCTCTCCTAAACATACAACAAATTTAGGCGAAAACGGCCTGTGAATCATCAGGAAAAGGTACTGATTTTGTATAGAACACACATTGAAGAAAGCACCCAACTGCGTCACAAGACAAGCACTTGCTTAGAATCCTCAAGGCCATAAGGAAAAGAAAAAGACCAACGAACACATTACTCTGAGGAATGAAGACACACATGCGAAGAATGAACAACCACTGAACAGAAATGGAAAGGAAGGTCCAAAATGCAGTAGGTTGGAGACTGTTGGTCGGCCACCTATATTCCATTATGTGTAACAGGTGTAAATAAGCGTCGTTTGTAAATGAATGATATTTAATTTTTTGATTGTTTATTGCTGAAGATTGTGTTCGGATTCTGAAGACAAGTATACAGAACTTATCATAAGCGTTTCAGAAATGGTTTCCACAACTCACTTGCAAAATTACAATTTTAATTCATTATTACTAAACGTAATCTCTACATATAGAAGAACGATTTTTATTAGAATTCATAAATATATATGACGTCTACAATTCGTTGGTTATAAATAGTCAATTCCGGTGGTCGAATTCTCATGTATATAAGCTTTTGAATTCACACGATCAATATATATATATATATATATATATATATATATATATATATATATATATATATATATATATATATATATAATATCTTAAATTTTATTAATTTGCCTAACAGAATGCGTCTCATCTGTCAATGTTTATGTTTACGTTTAATTGATAGAACAGGAGACGATACTCAAAAGAAAAATATTTTATCAGAAGAACAACTATTCTTAACTAAAAAAGCTAAATCTTTGTCGAATTTTTTATTTTTAAAAGATGATGTATTTCGAATTGAAGCATTAAAATCATATCAAAAGAAAGCAATTACAATTCAACCATTGAACAATAAAGATGATTTCAAGAGACAACAATTATCAAATCAAAATATTGCTAAACATATCTATCGTCATGCCTTAATCACCGTCTTAGATAAAGTTAACAAGCCTATAGTATGATATTATTTATGTCTCGTTCAACATGAAGTAACTGGTCACAAAAGGAGAGATTTTCGCAGACATAACACACTCTAATCACATCGAATAGTGAACGAAACCAACCTCAGATGTTTACACAAATATGTGTTCATTCATTTTATAATGTTGCTTGCATCAAAATTCTATACTGCTTCTGATAGTAATCTGATTTCTTGAAAAACTTAGTACGATTTTGGTTGTTGTTCAAGCATCCATCTTGTTACCAATTGTACAAAATGTGCATCTGACATTTCAAACCGAAATTCTTGGAATTATCAAATACTTATTGTCATATTTTAATGATCTAATTATTCAATCCACTGATAAATCTTTTAGTTGATTTTGCTTAGTTCTTAAATTATCCCGTTAACATCAGAATTTTCTCCTTATTATTATTATTATCTACATTGCAACCGACTCAACTTCGACTACCCGATATCCAGAAACTCATTCAAATTAACCGAATGTAAGAACTCATAAATAATTGCCAACTGACTAGAATTAGTGCAGTAAGAGTGATTAGACTACCATGCTGGAATCGTACCGAAAAGAAATCGATCGATTTATATGGTAGCACATGACTGCATCACAGATTTATAAATATTTGTTTAGTAATTTTCGTATTCTCTTATAATTGAAGCACTGAAACAGAGGTCTTCCAGTATGTTTTTGTCAGGATATTCATCCAATGTCCTAAGAGAACTATTGGTCAATTCCTACTGGTCAATTTTATGGTCGTCCTAGATATCAATATCACGTGCTCAAATGTTGTTTCTTATTGGTTATCCTAACTGTCAATGTCACAGACTTCGATGCTGTTTCTCATTCGACCAAAATGTATAAATACGCATTATCTGTAACGTTTTATGGTCAGGACCAGGACCCGGATCCCTAGTCTGGGATCCTGATTCTCTTCTGGATTCGGACCTCGTACTTTCTGGATGATTGTAGGATACAGGTTCTACTTCATATCAAGTGTTGTCTTCTTTTACTCAATATGGGGGTTGCGATAATCGGATTTGAGTAGCATGTCGTATCACCGGATCCTCGCTCTCGTTTTCCGACTAGGTAAACTCGTAATAGTTCAAGCATATCAGAATGTCGTGTTTACATGCAGGCGTAACATTTTTCAAAATGATTTTAATTACTGTACCAAGGTAAAAGTTGTACTGTATTTGAAACTAGATGCCTTATCTGAAATATTTTGTTAGCCTTTAATTCTGTCTTCAGAAATCGCATCATGTTACCAACCCCCATCCCAATTCAAAATGGAATATAATACCATAATGTTGGAATATCAACCTATTTTTTCCTATGTCTTACAGTACGATTACATGTGAGGATTAAGGCGCATGCATCAACAAATAATTTGATGCATTCACTGATGTGTTTCGACATCCAAGTTCTTTTATTGAAGACTGTTAATACAACAATCCCAACATGGATATGAATTTTCGAAACATCAAAAATTCTTCCAGACTTTGACTGATGTTGTTGCTCTTAATACAAGTGATCGACTGGATTATGAAGACGTCAACATCTGGAGGGGAGCACGGGATAAAGTTGACAACTAGGATGCAGTTGGACGATTGAGACTGCGCTGATGCTCTGGCTCTTCATTCGCACATGCAAAAATAAATGCAAGAGAAGACGACCGGTGTAGCAGTAGCCTCAGCAACAGCAGATCTCAACATACATAAAGGGAAAAGCAAGATTATTCGATACAACAGAATAAGCCCCAACCAAATCACTCTACATCGAGTTGCCTTGGAGGACGTAAAAACCTGTACATATCTGGGCAGCAATCGAAGGGCACAGTGCATCTGTGGTAGATGTGAGGGCGCGGATCTGCGAAGCAGGGACATCCTTTTTACAATCGAAGAATATCTGGAACTCAAAACAATTCTCAACCAACTACCAAAGCCAGAATTTTCAGAACAAGAGTCAAGACAGTTCTACTATATGGAGCGGAAACTTGAAGAACTATGAATGCCATCATCCAAAAGATGCAGGTGTTCATTAACAGTTGTCTACGTAAAATCCTTCGAATTTGCTGGTCAGACACCATCAGAGAACTAACTAGATTCTAGCAGAGGAAGAGATCAGGAAGAAGAACTGGAGTTGAAAAAGACAGAAATTGAGGAAAGCAAATAACTGCGTCACAAGACAAGCATTCACCTGGAAGGCAAAATGAGAAGAGGAAGGCCAAAGAATGCATTACTCCGAGAAACGGAGAAAGATATAAGAATTAACAGCAGTTGGATAGAACTAGAAAGTAAAGTTCAGTATGGAGTAGGTTGGAGAATACTGGTTGGCGACCTATGCTCGATTGGGTGGTAGCAGGCTTAAGTACGTAATGGAATCTAGGGAAACTAACTTCATCCCATTTGCGACTGGTCAGCTTGGCGCCGCTGCACTTCAAGACTGATGTTCACTTCGAAACTTGGGTTCACTGTCTTTGGCTAAGAAAATCTCAGATACACTTAGAGACTGGATCCAACTCTTTCAATGAGATAAAGACTGATCGATAGGAAGTACCTTACTTCAACATAGCAGACTGAAACAAAAATGAGTTTGATTTTCTTAAAATAATAAGGAATTTACCTTTGCATGACTGCATAATTAGGTCTGTTGGCATCTTGTATGAAAACATCGGAATGTTACAGGGTTTTATGTACTCATTTCTAGAATACAAATAATTTTCAATCCGTTTGAACAAATCGTCCTAGTTTACCTTCACATTCTGAAAGAGTACCGTAATCATAGCGCGACTACCAGTTTGCAGACCACCTACGTTACTGATAAGAAATATGACAAATTAACCTTTACTCCTACTAACATCAAATGACGATCGTGAACATTTATCTCAATATCCAAAGAGAATTGAGGATTCCTAGTGACGGCTTGTCTTGTGACGCAGTTGGATAACTTCCTCAATGTGTCCAAACCAACTACAGCGCTTTCTCCTGATTTATTACTCTGCTAGAATCTGGTTTGTTCTCTCCCACAATAGGTTGTTGTTGATAGTTTCTTGCCAACGGATCCAAAGAATCTGAAGTATTTTGCGTAGACAACTGTCAATGAACACCTGCATCTTTTGGATGATGGCATTCGTAGTCCTGCAAGTTTCAGCTCCATATAGTAGAACTGTCTTGACTCTTGATCTGAAAATTCTAACTAAGGTGTTGCTTCACAATTTTGAGTTTCAGTTGTTTTTTAATTGTAGAGATGTAGCCTTCACTTGCTAACCCGTGTCCTGACATCTGCGTTAGATCAACTTTGTTTACTAATGATGCAGACCATGTATGTGAAGGCTTCCAACTGTTGTAAAACTTCTCCATCAATTGTAATTTGTTAATGCAAGTTGTGTTGTATCGGAGGATTTCGCTTTTTCCCTTGTGTTTTTTAAGGCTTATTGCTCCAGCGGCTGCTGCTTCACTCACTGCCCTTCTTCATCTGCATTTGTTGTTGTGTGTGAGATGGATGGGCTAGGACATCCGCGAAGTGCAAATCGTCCAGCTGCACCCGAGCTGTTCACTGTATCCCGTGCATCCCCTGAGATGTTGGTGGGACAATATCAACTGAATGGTCTGTAGCTGCTGCCTCGATGTTGGGTGGATTCAGTGAGGTTTATCTATTCAGTAGTTCTTTAAAGTACTCTAGCCACTTGTTTCGCTGTTCTTCAATGTTGGCGATCCGTTTGACTTCCCTGCTTTTCACTGGTTGTTCTGGTTTACAGTACTTTCCAACAAATTTCTTCAATGTATCCTATAGTTTTGCCATGTCTCGCGACTCTTTTTCGGCTATCATTGCTAAGTCTTCCACATACTTCCGCTTACCAAGTTTAGTGCTGCTGTTCATTCGCTTCTTTGCTTCTGTGTATTCGGCTTGTGCTTTGCCTTTCTGTGCTCTCGTTCGGCTGTTACTGATTGCTGCATTCTTGTTCCTCCATTCTTCAATATTATTCAGAGTATCTACTGAGATCCATTCTTTGTGATGGTGCTTCTTGTGGCCCAAGTAATCGCAACCTTGATCTCCTTTTAGTTATTTTTCACCGTAGTTTCCTCACTGTTGGCCAGATCATGAAAGCGTTGGGACTTGTCGCTGAAGCTTATCTTAATTCATTGAGTCATATTAAACTGTTGTGATGTTGTTCGATCAGTTTTCCAGTGCATCTTTACTTTCAGTTTCATCTCGGTCACCATCAAGTTGTGATCTGAAGCTATATGATATAGTCGCATCTTTTCATTTTTGCAGCGACTTGAATGACTTACCCGGTATCCCTTAATGTACGAACACTTCATGTACCCACAGTGATGGTTGCTCTAGCTGTAAGAAATAGTTTCGTACTCGTGACTTCCGAAGAAAATTTATTTTCATCATGAGACGTCAGAACCCTTCTAGACCTATTTTCCAGGGTAGGGTTTAAATGACTTGAATTAGTTTTTATGGTTAACGAGTTAGTTTTAATTCGGAACGGGGATCGACATCTTATCGACATAGAGAGAGAGCTTACTTATTTAGGCTACTTCTTTTGCTTGTGGTGTGACGATTTAATGCGTGTTCTAAAGCTCGGTTTATTAATCAGAACATGAATTCGTATTGATGAATACGTTTATTCGGGACACACCACAAAGCGAAGCGGAGAAGCAGTGAATAAAACGAATGAAGCGACGTGAACTGGAGAAGGCTTTTGAGCCAACTCCATGGGTTACAATGCGAACGAACGGGCGAAGCGAATTGGAGAAGGCTAAGAGCCAACTCAAAGAGATAGAACATGACTAAGAATATATAGTCAGATAAAAATAAGGCAGACATATGACAAGCGAAATAGGCGTGCACACACATGAATAAAAGCGACGAATGATTGACAAGGTCAAATGACAAGTGGGACATGTCATGTGAGCTCATCATACAAACCAGACAATAATAATAAGAACGAATAGTGCATATAAATTTGTTGCTATACAAATGGCTTGGTTAAATAAATTAATAATCGAAAGGGCTTAACCAAGTTAGATGTAAGAGAACTGGAATATTATATGTGGAGGCACTATATGCTAATATTTTTTTTCTATGAAATAAATTTTCTCTCATTTTCCAAAATATGCAGTTATTATTTCAATGAGAAAAATCAGTGTTGTGTATAAATGACTTTTTAATGATATCATCAATAAGAAGACTAGACACAATATATTACATATATTCATTATATTGCACAGTAGACAACAGAAGGAAACCTTTCAAAAAATAAACAATACAGATTTCAACCAAATACGCATAAAAAAAATACAAATAGGTTTGTCTGTTTGTTTGTTTTTTAAGACTGTACAACTTTCTCATGGTATAATCCAAAAACAGCTGTAATCAATTGATATAACATAAACAAGACAATTAAACACATTACATACAATAACGGTGAACTAATTCCAAACAAAAAATAACTAAATATATACAATATAAACATACGTAATAAACCATAGTAATCTGCTAGAAAACGAAAAGATATACGTGGATTATTAGTTTGCAAAAATCTTTCACAATCAAATTGGTTGACAAATGATGATGGAACTAATAGTTGACGTGCAATCCTTCCTCGAATACCTGACAATAAACACCATTGAATCAAATGTGGCTTCATCTGGAAAAGAATAAAGGAACAATACAATCAGGCGCTAGTAGTGCGGTGTTATAGGATTGGCTTTTTTAAATTTATTACAAGAGAATATGTTTGACAATGATAAAATAATTAATAAATTACTTTGATTAATTGATGGTGACTAGTTTGGTTTCGTGTGCTATTACCAGTATGAAGGCAGATGTCACTTCCCGGCTGCGCACACAGTGGAAGTGTTTCTTGAGGAACTTAAAATTGAAGTTAGATTAATATTGGTCTTAGAGACCTCAGAGCGTGACATCAGAACTCAATAGACAGCTGCTTGAAACCGGTCAAGCACTGCCATTTTATGTGATGTTTTCAGTGTTAGCTCGGCTCTTGTTTAAAAGGCCTTATCGACTGAAACGGAAATTTGTGAGGAAAGGTGAGGAGCGACATTTTTAGGGTCGACATTTTCTAACCCCTATCTTCCTTGTGAGAAGGCAGAATCACTGCAGATGCTGGTTGTCCGAGGGAAACACCTCACTGACGTCACACCCATCTACAGTCAGCAGTACCACTTCGCCCTCAGACCTTGAGTAGCTGTTTCTAGTCTCATCGTTCTGCAATTAACCTGCCTGGCATAGGAGGACCTAAAAGAACATATGTTGCAGTCAATATAACTCGGCTGGATCGTCATGATAGGCAGGTTCGACCACCACATCAAGGAAGCAGCTGCGGTCGGGTGATCAACTGATAATATGCAATGGTGCAGTATGTATGACCGAGTGTTAACTGCTCCTCAGACTGAATTATTGATGTTAACTCTAAATTGAGCCTATATTAAAAGATAAAACACTTGACCAGGAGAATGAATTTTCTTTCTAATATATATATATATATATATATATATATATATATATATATATATATATATATATGGGGAAGATGAAACACTCACTGGAGAAACAAGATAAAATATGTAGACGACTTAAATGTTTATTGACTGAACAATATTCGTTGATACAATTTCGAAACGATCAGAAATATTATTAGTTCAAGTGGATGCTATTGAGTATTCTAAGCTTTCGTTGTCATTCTGAACAATATTGTATGCGCTAACTTCTTGAAATTGATAAAAATTTATACATTACAACATGTTAAATAACTGTTTAGATCTGTTAATTTACAAACGTCATTATACTTAAAACATTTCTTACTGTTCTCAACTCATCACTTGGTAATATACAACTAAACTATGATAAATTTTCATACAATAAATATAAAAAATATTTACTTCTTACTTTTTCATTAAGCTTATCTTCTAAATAGTTGCATACTATGAGTATGTAGCGATTTTCATAAAATGTATTCATTGTAGATGCATAAATTCTATTTGTTGATTGACGATCAATATACGGACGCTTGATACCCATTAAAATCTAACGATTACAATGAAAAAAAAAGAAATCTACTAATCACTAGATAGATTGAGAAATATAAAGGAACACATTGATTTAAATGTCGAAAACAAACGAAACAACTTATTAAATCATTGAGATGGATACAAGCTAGCAGTGGAATTCAGAACACACGTTTTGTTAATCCGTCACTCGCAGCCAGTACTGTTCGCCGTCAATTTGCCCACTGACGTCAAATATATTTGTACTAAATAGTTTGAATCTTCCCCATTGACAGCAACGACTACAAATGATATTGCTGAGTTATTTTATCCATGAGATTGACCAATTGCAGTCTCACTTATAAAAGAGGTGAATAACGTTTTGAGTTCGACTATAGCATTGAAGTCACCAGCCATTACTACTACATCAGAGACCTCGTCTGAACTGCAGTCAATGGGAGCCTAGGTAGATACGACGAAGAGGAAACGGCAAGTTTCCCCATCTTTCCGAATCCTTACTATCACGATTATTCGGTCAGTGCACAAGAGACTGTCTACTGGGATTCTATCTATGAGGACTAGTTCTGCCCTACGACTCAATGCTATACCTACACCAGAGAGGCGATGGGAAGCAACAGTAGGGCTTGCAGATACACGAAGAGTAAATCAGGCTGGTTCTTTATTTTGAGATAGTGAGGTCAGGTGAATGATGACACTCGAAAGCCTGTTGTCCTATTTGACACAATGTCCGGACATCAAAAGCTGTAACATGTAGTTTGGAGTGGGGTTTCAGGAGACCAGGAATGATGTTCCGTGAACTCATATCATTTGCATTAGCGGTACGAGTGATAAATGAATGTAAAAAGAGTTAATCGCGGATATAAGAGAGATGTTGGGAGGTGTAGAAAGGATTTGATTTTGACCAATTCGGTCTCGTGTGCTGTTACCAAAGTGAGGGTGGTTGTCACTTCCCGGCGGCCCACACTGTGAAAAGTCGTTTCTTGAAGAACCTAAAAAGGAAGGTAGATCAGTGTCGGTGTTAGAGACCTGGGGAGTGTGACCACATGGTCCAAAGGTTTTTTTGAAGTGTTAGCTCCGCTCTTGTTTGAAAGGCTTTAACGCCGGAGACGGGAATCCGTGAGGTAGGGTGAGGTGTGACATTTCTAGGGTCGACATTTTCTAACCCTTCCTTCCTTGTGAGAAGGCAGCATCGCTGCAGATGCTGGTTGTCCGAGGGAAACACCTTACTAATGTCACGCCACTCTACAGTCAGCAGTACGACTTCGCCCTCAGACCTTGAATGGCTGCTTTTAGTCTCATCGTTCTCCAATCGACCTGCATGGCATGGTAGAACCTTCGGGAACATATGTTCCAGCCAATATAGCTCGGTTGGGTCATCACGATAGGCGGGTGCGACCATCATGAGAAGGCAGCAGTTATGTTCGGGATTCTCTCCATCGATGTTTACCATTGTCGTATACATGCTTTTGATATAACGTTATCTCCGTCTGAATTTTTAGGAATAGACCTTTTATCAGGAGATTCAATGGTTTCCATTTACTGCTAAAACTTCTACAACCCATACTACTATAGGATTTAAAGTGACAATTGCATCTCCGAGCTAATATGGTATGTCAACTTGAATTAATGTACGTACGTATGAAGTTGTATGTTATTGCTGACTGAGTGGCTGAAGCCTGTTGCCTTATTTGACACAGTATTCGAACACGGAAAGCTCAGATACATGGTTTAGAACAGGATTTCAGGAGACGACGAATAACGTTTCGTGAGCTCGAAAAGTTTGCATCAGCACCGATTCGATGTCACGTGCTTTTACGGGTATGAGAACAGATGTCACTTCCTGGCTGCCCACACCGTGTAAGTAGTGTGAGAAAATTTAGTATTAACAAACACCAAAACAAGAAATAATAACTAATCACCTGGAAACGATCCAATGGTGTAAACTTTGCATTATTTCTTGACGAATTCTGACTGTTTACAAATAGTTGAGGCATTGAACATAAGTCCGAATTCCAAGATGAATATGAAGAATTGTTCGAAGACAAATTCATCAAATTACACTGTTTAGCATTGGAATTTTTTAATTTTAAATGAGGTCGCATTATTAATGGACTAGCTGATAAATCATCCCATTGTATACGACCATTCTGTGGTGGTTTTAACGAGAAATCATGTACAGTTTCACATGTCTAAAGAAAAAAATTTAAAATGGAAATAGATTGAGTTCTTCTTCTTCTCTGAAAATGCAGTTAATAAGATGCTAACCCAGACAAAATCCAACTTATCTGTTTGCTTGAATCAGATGAAAAGGAAATTCAGGGAAATTGATTGATTCTAACGGTCAACCTAAATTACACCAGCGTCATTACAGCTATATGAAGGTTGCAGCTAACCTGATGTTACCGGGACATAGATGAGATTAAAGCATGATTGCGCTGGCTGCACGCTGATTGGCTTATTCTTATCCAATCAGCGCTAGTCGAGAACCTTCTAGAAGCTGCTCTTGTAAAAACCATAAAGATACTAATGTTGTTACATTTCGCCTTCGTTTCGGTTTCTCACATCCATTTAACCTTGCTATTTAGAATATAATCTCTTCCCTGTTCAATTCTGTTCTGATTTGGGGGCTTGTCGAGTACAAATACACTTTGTGAAGGAGTTGTTAGCAGCATACCAGAATTCACCTATGATCCTTAAAATGGAAATACTTTTCTCACGTGGTTCATACGTTTGGAAGATAAATTTAGAATAGAATTCGATAAACAATACGACACGTGGAACACTCGATTGTTGGTGCGTAAGTTGGGAAGCAATGAACATGATCGTTATGCAGACCATATATTACCTCGATGAATCATTCTCATTGTTTAGTATTCGATATCAGTGTCTAAATCTGGTGAAACGCGAAGCCGATGAATATGCAGTCCTAGCAGACATCGTCAGCAGAGAATGCGAACGGTTCAAGTTATGCCCGTGGACAGAAGACCAATTTAAATGCTTAATATTCTTCAAAGCTCTTCAGTCACCACAAGAAGCTGAGATCAGGACTAGACTTCTGACTGAACGTCACACTCAAAAGATTGAAAGATGAGTGTAGGCGGCTACAAAGCATCAGATACGACAGCAAGTTGATTAAACAGGCAAGTCCTATTTTAAACGACAGTAATATCAATGCTGTTTCTAGGTTAAAATTTCAGCAGCCGTAACAACTCGAAACAAACCATCGACTGCATGTTGGTTATGTGGAGATTGGCATTATGTACGATTCTGTCCATTTAGGAAGCATAAATGTCAGATGTGCAACAAACGTGGACATAGAAAAGGTCACTGTCTACCGAATCGTACGTCTCAGCCTAGGAAAAAGCATAAACGTATTCGACAGGTGGTGAAATTAGTCGAGTATAAATCTCTTTCTCTAATAGCGGCTTTTCAAACAGACTATGATGTTCGAAGAAAGTATATTACCATCCAGATGAACGGCATACCAGCTCGTTTTCGAATCGACAAGGCACCAGATATCACCTTAGTGTCTAGAGAAACGTATAACTTGCTGGGGAAACCGCCAATGAAACCATCTAAGAAAACGGCTAAAAAAGCATCAGGAGGTGTGCTAAAACTGGTTGGTGAATTACAGTGTGAAGTTTACTTCAATGGAACTAACTGTACAGGACATATGTTATCTGACAGAACGGTCAAACTTTGATCTTCCTGGTCTAGATATGCTAGAAAAACTTGGAATAATGAATGTACCCATTAACAATGTCTGTAACGTATCATGTTCATCGTCGGACACCCCAATACTAACAAAGAAGACAGGTGAAAGGTTACAAGAAAAGCTGAAGAGAAAGTCTGCCTCTGTTTTTCAGAAAAGCCTTGGCCACTGTATCGAGATAGAAGCTCACTTACAGGGAAATCAGATGCCGAACCCATTTTACGTCCAAGACGTCCTGTACGATATGCTGCTCTTGAGCCTCAACGAAACAAGTCGATGGGGGAGCAGTCTAATCGACATCATGGGGCAAAAAGGCCGTTGTTGACAGATATGATACCTACAGAGCAGGCGGCTCGTAAGAGTACGGGTGGCAAGGCACCCAGGAAGTAGTTAGACTCTAGCACCAGATCCTACGAATCTGCTCAGAGGAAGTGTTAACGGCATATAGATGGGATCAAAGCATGAATGCGTTAGCTGAACGCTTTTAATGTCTCTAGCCACCGAGTACAACTGACTTGCGGATCACATTCAGGTAGTCTAATAAAATGACTCAGTTCAATTATGAGTGACTTAATGGATTTGTGCCATGTTTTGGTCTGGCCGCTCCTGGCTTTCTTTCAGCCTACCCCTACATCAAATATCGCTCGTCGAAGCAGTCAGGTCAGCAATACATCTATCAACTTCAAAGTGACTGTACAATGCTACTGGCTCATTAGTTAATATTCTAAATGTTCAATAGCATAATACTACATAGTTTCTGGTTTTTGTATTCACTTAATTAACCAGTTCTAATCTCTGGCATTATAAATGATAACTTAATGAATAATTGAAATATATATATATATATATATATATATATATATATATGATACACATAATCTCAATATTGGTGCACTGAAATAACAAATTTTTTTTTCTATTCTAATACAAGATTAAATATTGTTAAAAAATAAAAATGAAAATAAATAAAAATAAAAAAAAATTGAAGAAAATGTATGTCAATTATGTGATGAAAAAACATACCTGTTGCATAAAGAAAAATTCACGTAGTAAATCTATTCCTTCTTTTAAATAAGATAAACACTTATTGTTCTGTTCATCATGATTCATATCAAATATAAGATGACAATACAACCAACGAGTTAATTTATTAAACCATCCATTGTGATATAATATAGTCCATTTTCGAATTAATTCATTTTGTAATCTAGTAAATAAATCAATATTACATTATATATCAATTAATACATTTAAACATCTGGTAAATTTTACATTGAACAATGAAAAAAATCAGTTTACTATTAGGAAATAATGATAATTGGTCTGGTTGTGTGTTTGAACAATGCAATACGCCTAAAACACATTGGCAAAATAAATGTAAACTGACCTAAGAGTAGGCTGGCTGTGTCGTATCAATAATGTCACAGAGAAATTTTATGAGACATAAGAGAGTGATGTTAGCTTAAAGACATCCGACTTCTCTTAGTATAGAGTTTATCATCCAGTGATATACAGATTCATGATACTATTTAAGATGCCTTTAAAAAAGGAGATAGAAAATTTCACGATGAAGATTTGACAGTGAAAATAATTTACAACTACATTAGTGTTTGTTAATTTATTTCTAATGTATCTATCTATCTTTTAATTATTTTAAAAATTCTTTAAATATTTTGAGAATTAACAGTCAGAAGTTTTAAATTGCTCATCGATAAAATGCCGGAATAATTTTTTCCAATTTATTTGACCATTGAAATGAACAATATCAGATAAACAAGAAATAATTATATGCTAAGAAGCACTGGAGTTGGGATAGAACACATATTTAAAAAAGCAATCCATCGCATTACGAGACAAGGTCTCACGTGGGACCCTCAAGGACAAAGGAAAGGAGGAAGGCCAAGGAACACATTACGCCGAATAATGGAGACAGACATGAGAAGAGTGGACAACAATGGGACAGAACTGGAAAGGGAGGCCAAGGACAGAGTAGGTTGGAGAATACTATTCGGCGGCCTACGCTCCATTGGGGATAACAGGCGTAAGTATAGATATATATATTTCTTGGAATTGCTTATCTCTGTTACACACTTTCACATGCCATAAATCGAATATAATCTTAATCAGTTAGTGACGTCGAAATTCGTACTTACGTACATCAGTTCAAGTACCATACAACATTACCACACACAGATGGGATTGTCCATTCAAATCCCATAGTAGTAGATGTAGTAGAAGTATGAGCAGTAACCGGAAAGATTACGGCTCAAAGATACTATTCAAAGAGTATAATCTAGTGAAATAAACTTGAGAAGAGAAGGATAAGTGTGATGAGGAATTCAGGAGATTAGGATTTGAGACATGACAAAGAATGGATGCACCTGTGCCATCGTAAACGACTTTGAGCCATGTCATTCACTCTTTCTAACCATCGGTTACTATCGTTTCGCGGACCCCAACCAGGAAGTCTCCACTTACCAACATAAATGAGTCCAGCTGTCAATGACTTCATGGATTTGTGCCATGTTTAGGTTTGGCCGCCCCTAGCTTTTTTCTAACCTAACCCTACACCACAAAACATAGCTCGTCGAAGTAGCTGGTCGATGGTTAGGCGTATGTAACATTCCTGAAGTTTGCAACGGACTGTGGTTAATGATAGAATTTGAATACTATCAGTAATTTTTGTTTAAAAGAGAATTTTTATAAACTAACTTGAATGTTGCAAGCATCATATTATTCAAAACTGTGTGAACTGCAAAAAGTATTACAGGATTCCAAAGACCAGTTTGTTTTTGTTGATATTCAGTAGATAACATACCATCAGATTGTTGTTGTTGTTCAGATAAAATTTCTATCAATAAACATCAAAATGACTTATTAATGTTACATTGAAAAATATCAACAAAAATACAACGAAACAATAGCGATAATAATTGATTTCAGGACAAAAAATAGATTATGAAGTTGACATCTTTTATTTATTTGTTCTTAACAGGAATCGCTATCAATGCTTTTCTTAGTGAAAAATTTGTTGCGTTAGAAAACAATGTGACTTACCATGTATGTGTTACGGCTACACTCTATTTCAAAGATCACTTCTATAACTTGCGACAAAAATCAAAAACAATTGTAACGTGACTATCTTACAAAAGTGACACATAATATTGGTAATCAAGGAAGAAATATCAGATTTAACGAAGAACCAACGTTAGCTAGAATAAGTTATGATCAATTAAAGAGCACTACTAACTCAATCAACGTTCGTACACTAATACAGATCGGAAAACAGATAGGGTTAATGATGTTTTTCAGAAAGTCCGAACATAAATGTCTGTTGTTTATTCGAAACTCGTATTTAGAACTACAGTTAAGTACAAATTAACTGTCCATCTATCGCTTGGAATAGCTTATCTCGTGTGGATTTATTTGTGGTATTTTCATCTGGCTTAGCTTGTATTGCACTAAGCATTCATAGTTTACGAAAGCTTTCTAATTTTTGCGACCATGTTGCACAGCCATAACGTAGCGCAGAGAGGACTGTTGTGCAGTACACATGAAGTCTTTGTTTTTCATCTACTTGACGCCATAAATGACGCAAGTTAGCAAAGTCTAGCGGCGATTACTCATTTTGAATTCAGATTTTCTCTCACATCAACTTTAGACGCGCTAAACGTAGCAAGCAAGAAAAGAGGGCATACCTAGGTTACTAGTATTCGATTATAGATGTCTTTGAATCATGGCTCGTGTATCCTGGGACTACCGAGTAAGCAATGCTGTCGTTAGGAAACGAGTACTAGGTAAGGGTGGCAGATCAGGTGATGAACTAATGAATCTTCATGAGTGGAAATGGTTGGGACATGTGCTGCTGATGCCCAACCATCGACTGCCTCGACGAGCGATATCTTTTGTAGCGGTAGGCTGACAGAAATCTAGGGGCGGCCAGACCAAAACATGGCTGAAATCCATTAAGTCACTAATAACTGAACTGAGTCATTTTATTAGATTACCTGGTTGTGGTCTGCGAGTCAATTGTACTTGGTGGCTAGAGACTTTAAATAACATAGCTTAAAATGATTTACAATGGCGCAGTTGCATCTATTCCACAACTTCACCCAAATTCTAATGTTCCAAGCACTTCATGACCGTTTTTCATTTTTATTTTTTTTCATTGGGATATACTTCTTGAATCGTATCTTCGACCCCTAATCTTTTCGACTACCGCTAATACTGCTGTAACCTCTATCACTACGGGATTTGAATTGACAAGTGCATCTCTCTGTGCTGTGGTACGGTAACTTGAACTGACGTACATACTTTCTAAGTGTACGTTGTTGTTGACTGACTGAAACACACTGACACTTCGAAATTGATGAAACTTCCAATTCCAGTGGGTGAGGTGGCCAGTCCATTTAGCTACTTCTCTCTGTTTCATTGATTCAGGTTTTAAGACAGACCAGTTTTGAAGCTGCATATTGTCTTTAGCAAGAGAAAAGCGCATGAAAACATGTTTGCACTGTTGCTCAAGTCATTTCAAAAGCCTGTGTTTCATCAGTGTCTCTAACAATTGATGATAGTCAAATAACTGGATAAGTCGACCACATCGTCGTAAACAACCGCCTTGAGAATTTAGGTGATTGAGGTGTTTGTGGTGGTGTTTTGTTCTCTGAGCTGGTTGTTTTGGTTGTGGAGCTTTCATTGTTCTTCTGAACAACATCATCAGCACAAACTTCAGATAGAAGAAGTGAAGCATTCGAATTTCTCCACGTTTGACCTGTAGCTTGTTCTGCTAACCTCCATCTTGATTGGTTGCTGTTGTCTTTTGACCTGTCGTTGTTTGCAACTTTGTTTTGATTGCAACCCCCTTTTGATCTGTTTCTTGATCCTGTGTCACCTATGATTTTTCTGATTGGTTGATAAATTGAGTCAATATCGATGTGTTTGTTGATTGCTGATTGGCCTCAGTGCCAAGCTTCTTGAAATTCTCTAGTGTTCTTTGTGCTCCCCCTATCAAGTACTTCCACATTGTTCCAATCAAATGTGTGTCCATTATTGTCGGTATGTATTGATATAAGCGAAGCGTTGTTGTGGCGTTTGACTGCTAACTGATGTTCACGTAAACGGAGCTGAAGAGGTCGTCCACTTTGTCCTATGTAGTGTTTTTCACAGTTTGAGCAATTTGTAGATGATATTTGGTTTTTCTTCCTTTGTTATTTTGTCCTTTGGTCTACATAGGATAGATTGAAGTGATTCTGTTGGTTTGTGTGCTACACCTATTCCAAATGGTTTCAGTAGTCGTGCTGTATGCTCCGATATGTCTTTGATGTATGGTAGGATGATGCGTTTATTTGTTTCTGTGCTTGATTTCGCTTCTGATGATGGTTTCGGTTGATGTTTTTTGATGAAGTTGCGTGGATAGCCGTTCTTTTGGAAGATAGTCATCAGGTGTTTTTCCTCGTTTTTTAATGCTTCGTATGTGCTGCAGTGTGTCTTCGCTCTCTTGAACAAAGTTTGTATGCAGTTGATCTTGTGGGTTCTTGGGTTGTTGCTGTCGTAGTTGAGAATTACGTCTGTGTGGATTGGCTTCCGAAATACCTGAGTTTCCAGTTTTCCTGAGTTAGTCCTGGTGATTAGTACATCTAGGAATTAGGCTGTTGTTTGATTCCTTTTCCATTGTGAATTTGATGTCATCGAAGACGTTGTTGATCTGATTGTAGATGTTCTCCAGCTCATTCCTTTTGATAATAACGAATGTGTCGTCTACATAGCGAACTCACATTTTTGGCTTGATCACTGGCAGAATCGACGCTTCCAGTCTCTGCATTACAGCTTCGGCGATGAGTCCTGATATTGGTGATCCCATTGGTGTTCCTTTTATTTGTTCGTAGACTCTGTTGTTGAAATGAAGATACGTTGTTAAGCATAGGTCGATGAGTTCAAGCAGACTTTGACTCTGAAGCTTTGTATATTTGTGTAGATTTGTGTCGTTGATGAGGAGCAGAGAAAGTTTCTTTAGACAAGTTTGGCTCTATTGAGGTAAATAAGGCTGTTACGTCAAAGGATATCATCATTTCGTCGTTGTCAATTTGAATCCTCTTGAGTTTATCCAAGAATTCTGTGGCCTACTTAATGGAGTAGTTGGATTCATCCACCAGATGTTTTAATATCCTTGAAATTTCTCTTGATAAGTTGTAGGTCGGGGTTATTATTCGTAGAACATCTATGACAAAGTTGAATCGAAATGACGGAGGTTAGTAAATAACCTTGACGAGCACTACCTTGACCATCACCACAATTCTGTTGACAATTCACGATAAAGAGTGACTCCTTCGAATGTTTGAGTAGATAGCATGTACGTGGATATCGTTTTTCTGTGGTAGACCTGTAGTGTAAGAGAACACAGGTGGGGCAACCGAATTGTATTTAACGAAAATTACAGAGTTACTCAGTAAAATTGGAAAACCATATCGTAAATCGTTAATTTGCAAAATAACAGTTCATCATATCGAACTGGACTGTTCCTGTTGCAAAACATCAATCCATTGTCACTATTCATGCGTTTCATAAGAATTCCCTTGTTTTGTAACTCTTCCTTTCTTGATCTTCCCTCATCTTCGGCTGCCAGACATTACGTTGACGCTCACGTCATATAATACTTATAAGTAGCTCGCACCACAGCACCACAGACCTTTCAGTGATAAACACTGCTGCAAAACGTATTGGCGAAATGTCGTTTTAAGGTGAAAAAATACATTTACAGTTTGGCGTTTGCGCTCGTAAAGCCCAACGAAGATCAGATATCTGAGTATATTCTTTCTGAGCATTACTTTAATACTGAATGATTATTGAAATCAATAGTTTGCATATTATAATGGTCAAACTGATTCTTCAGTGCTTATCACAATAGGATTTGTGTTTAGCTGCAAAGTAGAAGGAACAGCAATATCCCAGTTCATCCAACTGCTAGAAGTGTAATCAAAGATCTCCAATAGCAATTAATCAGAATATGTCCGTTTCAACTTAATTAGGGGTTACAGTCTCTATAGCAGTCAATCAAACTGAATCTGGCTAAAAAAATTCCCAACAACGTACACATAGTACGTATGTACCTCAGTTCAAGTTTCCGTACTATATTAACACAGAGATGCGGCTAACAGCTCAAATCCCATAGTGGTAGACGTACTGTAAAGGTATTAGCAGAAGTCGAGAAGATTAGGGTTCGAAGATATTTTTCAAGAAGCATCATTCATTGAGATAACTTTGGAAAGAAAAAGACAGACATGATGAGGAATCCTGAAGATTGGGATTTCAGAGAACACAAAGAGTGGATGTACTTGTGCGATTGTAAATCATTTTAAGCTATGTCATTTAAAGTCTCTAGCCACCAAGTACAATTGACTCGCAGACCACAACCAGGTAATCTAATAAAATGACTCAGTTCAGTTATTAGTGACTTAATGGATTTCAGCCATGTTTTGGTCTGGCCGCCCCTAGATTTCTGTCAGCCTACCGCTACAAAAGATATCGCTCGTCGAGGCAGTCGATGGTTGGGCATCAGCAGCACATGTCCCAACCATTTCCACTCATGAAGATTCATTAGTTCATCACCTGATCTGCCACCCTTACCTAGTACTCGTTTCCTAACGACAGCATTGCTTGATCGGTACTCCCAGGATGCATGGGAAAGCTATAGGGCAGACATCTGAAGCAAGAGCGAGCTGCAGGTCCTGATAGGCTAACTCCTGAGATTTTTAAGGACGGTGGTCCAGCTCTAGCTGCTAGATTGACTAAGATCTTAGGTAGAATCTGGGAACTAAGAGTAATGCCATCTTACTGGCCTCAATCTCTCATTGTCCCAATTTATAAAAAAGCACAAAAGTCTTCTTGTGACAATCACAGGGGAATCAATCTAACTAATATAGTTTCTAAATTGTTAGCCTCGATTATACTTAGACACCTAACTAGAGCTTGTAAAGAGCAGACTAGAGAAAACCAGGCTGGATTCAGACCCGGAAGTGGATGTATAGACCACATTTTCACACTACGAAAGGTCCTGGAACACAGACACACACTTAGACGGCCGACAATAGTTGTCTTCCTGGACCTAAAAGCGGCATTTGACTCTGCGGATCGTGAGATTCTATGGCAGTATCTGTCATCAAAAAGGTGTACCAAGAAACTACATTAACTGTATACAAGCTCTCCACTCGAACACTACATGTTGGATTAGATCTTATGGCGAACTGTCATCGGAAATCGTTTACTTCAAGTCGTCGTCCGTCAGGGCTGTCTACTTTCCCCACTCTTATTTAATTTTGTTATAAATATGCTCCTAGATGTAACCTTATCCTCGTCAGGGTAGACCTTCGACCAAGAGGCTCGCTTATTGACCTAGAATATGCTGATGGCATAGTTCTATTCGGTGAAGACGGTGACAAATATGCAGAGTCTTCTGAGCACCTTGAGCAACAATGCAAGCATGTTCGGGATGCGGTTTTCCCCTCAAAATGCAAAATGTTGCTTCAAGATTGGGTTTCATCGGCTCCTGAACTAGTGATAGGGAGTGAAATATTCGAACGTGTAGACCGCCTCACGTATCTTGCGAGTCTCATCAGTGCCGATGGCCTGGTGACTGACGAAATCTCAGCTCGGATACAGAAGTTGTTGTTGCCGAAGCATTCATTCTTTGTGTTCTCTCAAATCCTAAACTTTTCAATTCTTCATCTTTATCTTTTTAAGTCCTTTTCACAAATTCTACTTCTTGAATAGTATCTTCTAATCCTAACCTCTCCGACTACTTCTAATACCTTTACTACCTCTACTACTATTGGATTTTAATTGACAATTTCATCTCTGTGTTAATGTGGTAAAGCATCATGAACTGAGGTACGTACGTACGAAGTTCTACGTTGCGATTGATTGATCGACTCCAAAACTTCGCTTAACATAATTCGAGTCTGCTTGTTACAACTGTAAGTGTTAATCTGTTCAATTCCTTACACATACTCAGACATTGAGTAGCTGCTTGTGGTCTCATCGTTCTGCAATCGACCTGCGTGGAATGGTAGAACCTTCAGGAACATATGTTCTAGCTAATATAGCTCGGGTGGGTCATCACGATAGGCAGGCCCAACCACCACATCAAGGTAGTAGATACATTCAGGCATGGTCTTTAGATTGCGCAGCGAAGAATGAACTACGAAGACCAAATCTAGTAGTTCCAACTTTGAAGCTTCAATTAGGTCGCTTTGAAAAATTGTGATGATTCAATGTTATCAATTATAAATTCCTTGCTGTAAATAAGGTTGAAATTCATCACCTGTTAGTTTGAACCATACGTTTGTAATAAGGTAGTCAGTGATGAGCCGAAGATTATTGTTTAAGTTTAGTTTTATTTACCGGAATATTACTGTCGATTTTTACTTACTTAAAAGTGAAATCAACTATCAACCAACATTAAAGTCAGAATTTTCACTATAAATGTCAAAAAGTTATACTTTATGGGTGGAAACAAATGAAAACCAGCCTATCATAGTTTTGTCAACCTTGGATCAATTCATTGTTGAATGTCATTTTGAACAGTGTTCAATATAAGAGTAAAAATAAACCAAAAAAAGTAATTCAACTTTTTTACAAAAAAACAGACAACTAACTTTCAGTGTTCAATAATAACGTTTTAAATCCATCTTGTGAAAAATGTTTTGCCACACGATAAACCATATGAGCATTTCGACATACACTTAAATCAATTTTATTCACTCTTTTCAGAAATAATAAGAATAAACCAACATAAAGACTGTAGTGACGAGCAATAAATGTCATCCTACAAAAAAAGCGGAAAACGATTTTACTA